AGCCACCTCTCAGATCTTGATTCACTGCTTGACATAACACGCAGGTTCTGACAGTTCGCGATATTCGAACTCGTGCCATATTTTCGTACTATTCCGTTATTCGTGATATATTGCTCCGCTCGATCTTTTCTCTCTCACTCTCTGTCTCGTTCATCTCCAACAATATATTTGTATTTGATAACAAGATGCTTTTTTTACACGTGAAAATTAATTTGCGATTTTATAAAATGCGACTTAATCGCTAGACAAGTGTCATGTAAAATCTATTGCTGTAATTACTATATATATATGAGAAAAATGTATTAAATTTTAATAAAGATTTTTTTTTTCAATAGTACTGAATATTACTTAAATATATACATATATTTATTTGGTATAAGAACTATTAATTTCATTTAACTATAATTTTTTTCATGCAGTAAATATTTCTTTACTGTAAAAAAATGTTAAGTTAGATAGTCCTATTCAAACAAATATTCATTAAGATTCAGTATATTTTTTTCATAGTGTATAATAATTGCATGTCTAACTAAATTTAACTAACATTGTGAAGATATTATTTATTAAAAAGATGCTTCTTTTCAAGCATCTTAATAAAGTTAAATAAGATAAGAATCTTGATGAACGCGGTTTAAAAAGTATAAAAGTATAAAAGATATAGAGATTTTTTTTATCGCACAATTAAAAGTGATATAAAAGAGATAGGAATCCATATCAATACGATAAATGGATTTCGTAGCAGTGAAGCAGCTTTTTTACACGCAGTAAAAAGAATAAATAATTGGTTAAGAGGATTTGATCCAACGAATTCATTTCTAATATCAAATTACAAGCTTTACTCACGTGTTCGTCCACAGAATACGTCAACTCCCCGTCGTCGTAGAGAACGAACCACCTTCTCTGCCATCTCTGTAACACAGAAATTGTATTGACTGTTAGAAAAGATGTTCTTATTCACCATTTAAATATAAATATTAAGAAAATGTTTGAATATTATAGATATATTTTTACAACTACTAATTAAAAATTTTTCAATACTTAGATTTTATGAGGCAGCAATTAATAAAACATTCGCGAATTTTTAAGAATTTTTATTCATTAAATTAAAATAAATAGAGAAATTTAATAAGTCTATTGCAAATAATTATTATATACTTATGATTAATAACTACAATATTATTTGTATCTATTAATTATCATTGGACTTAAAACAATCATATGATTCTGGCTGAGGTAATATTTTTTGCAATAATTTCTCTCCAATGTTTTAAGATGTTTACTAACATTATTATCAAATCAATTTAATTGCGATATTATTTTAGCTTTAGTTTCTTTCAAGTCCGACAACGGCGCACAGTTATATAACTAAAATACATATTTAGAATTTACATATACAATAAAAATATTAGATTCGAAAATTCAGCTTCGTATAGATTTTTTTTTATTTACCTAATAATACTTCTTACTATTATTAGTTAATAATTATTTGCGATATACAGTTCTTGCATTATAATGAAATATATATAAATATAAACTGATTATTATTTCAATAATTATTATAATTGCCGCAGTTATTTTACAAAAAACAAGATCACCGCAACAGAGAAAAACATGGATAAAATTTTCTATGGAGCACTTCGCAATTTACGCAGAAAGACGCGTCCTTACGCGAGAAGAAAACAATCGTACGACTCAAGGTTGAACCTGTTCGATTCACCTTAAAGAATCTCTAAGACCTCCCGCTACGTCAGCTGGACAATTAGCACGCGGCAGCCGTTAATTAGAAACAAAGTCGACGCGGCGAAGAGGAAAAAGAAAGAAGCGCAGCCAACGAGCGCAGCAGCCTGCAGCGGTGGATCGTCACGATTTCTCTTTCGTTGTTATAAGTTGCGAATAACGCCATGAAAAATTTATCTCGTGGCTCGAAATGCTTTTGGATATTCTTTTGTGTTGAAATTTACGGAATCGAGCTTATCTTTGAAACTGCATCTTCAAAAATTTCTCCTAGAAAAATTTCTTCATTCTCGTAGAGTGTTAATAAATGTATACGATCTTTCGCTCATTGTTTTCATGCAAATCTCTTACAGTTAATAAAAGCCGTCGCTTTCACCGCGCATTACCCGACGGAAATACTCTTCGGGGATTCGTTATGTATGTAGCAACAGCCGCGAATTTGATGGGCGCACTTCGAAAAAATCGCGACGTTTATAGAGCGAGAACTTTACACGCTATACGATTGTATGCAAATGCCCACAACGTGTAAAGTTTACGTCCGACTACATGCACAGTTATGCGATACCGGCCATATCGATTAACCTCCTTGTCTACTATAGTGATGGGTACAATGTCCCTCAGGCAAAGACGCATTGACACAGAAAACATGAAACGCTGTTTCATAATCAAACTTTGTAAACAGAAAAATATATGACGGGTAGAGTATATAAAATCACTTAACTTATGAGAATCGTGTGAAGTTAATTTAACAGACACCAATACAGAATATATGAGATACATGTTTTCCTCTGGATTTTGGCCTCGACAAACATAATTTTGGGCATAATTAATGAGTTACAATATTCAGAAATAAACTTCTTTTAATATTACCAGAAAAAAGATGTTTATTTATTTAATGAAAAAAAATCTTTTCTTCCCGTATAAATGCTTTTTAATGGTGATGGTATTTTTTCTGAAAAATAAAAAATATTTTAATAAAAACATTAAAATCAATTATAAAAAATTTCCATTCAGAAATCATTCCTGTTTCTTTCGTAATTTATTTACCATATAACCATTATTATTATTATAATAAATAAAATTTCACTTTTTTTAAATTGATCTGATAAAGTGTTTCTTATACTATTCTTTTCATTGATATTTTATTAGGTGTTGGAATTAATTCGTAGCGTTTTTTAATGAAAGAATGTTATTTATTTCACATGAGCATTAAAAAATACATTAATGAAAGTACTTCCCATCACTTGTAAAACGCTACGAATTAATTCCAACACCTAATATATCTGCTAAATTTATGTACTTATTTCTTTTGCTTAAATATAATCAAATAATTTATAGGAAGTAGCTACTAAATTTAATATAATTTTCTATTCATTATAATAGATTTTAAACAATATTAAAATCATTTAAATTAAGAAACAGCTCTTATATAACAAACTTTTGTTAGTAAAATGTATAAGTTTTAAAAAAGACATGTCAGTTTGAAAAAATTAGAGCCCATGATAAATTCTAATTTATTTTTCAAAATCAGCATAAAAAATATATAAAAATAGACTAAAATCAATTAACAAACTCATTGTACATCAGTGTTATTGAATTTCTAAATAGTATCATTCATATGTGAACAAGATTTCAGAGAAGAAAGACGCAACTGTAACGGAAACATTACTGTCATTGATATGATGTGGGACGTGAAAGAGAATGTATTGAAAACGTGCCATTTCAGTAAACATGCACAAATACGAATCTATAGGTTTGTATAGTACCAGGTACTAGGTTTCGACGTTAAAGTACAATACAACCGCGTGCGAATTCTTCACAAAAGCGTGTTGCTTTTGTTCGCGAATGGACAAAATATTGTCGTAGTCAGCCATGCAGAATAGATGCATAGGTACCGTTGCAAAATCGCTGGACGAAGGGAGAAGGGTAGATATCAACCTACACGAGGCGGCGGTATCTTCATCTGGTAATTATTTACTAGGGGTCCCATGGACCAGCCTTACGTGGACCCCGGTACGTGCGTGGGAAGATCTCTCACGGAAGAAGAGGAAGAAGAAAGAACGAGAGGTACAAACAATGCGCGAGAGGATTGAGACAGTATAACGGAGAGAAAGCACGGAATTCTCCTAGCTGATACTCGTAATCTCCTGTTCTAAGAACCAATAGATTTTTTAAGACCAATTACGCGGGTCTAACTTTTGGATTTGGATTAATTACGATATAGTTCACGATAATGAATCTTATTTTGCTCGTCTTATTCACGAAATTTTAAAACTATTTATTATATAACATTTATATTTTTTTTTATTTAAGTGCAAAAATTAATTATTATATATACTTAATTATTATATATCTGTTAAATATTATTGTTATGTCGCATGATATAATTATCGATAAACTAATTAGAATAGTATAACTAAACACATTTCGAAACAAATACGCATAAATTTTGTCTTTTATATAATATAATTGTTATTCTATTTTACAATTAAAGAACTTTTAGATCTTTGCAAAGTAAAAAAAACTTTGCAAAGCAAAGTTAAATATTTTTTAGAGAGCATTGTTACGTCGTAATTTCGAACGTTAAGAAACCCGCATAATCCTGACCTACCGCATCTTTCTGACTTATACAGGCTATTAATACCGCCTACGGATTCGAGTCTTTTTAGTTCAACCAGTCACCGCCACTTTTCAACCAGTTTCAATCAACCGAAGCAATTATCGAAGATCCTAAAGTCCAATAAAATAACTAACTATAAATTACAAATGCGAATATAATTAAATCTTCCAGAAAAGAATAGAAATTATATTGTTAATGAAAATAACAAAGTTAATTAAAAATAAAAAATGTAACATAAAGTGTCAAACGTATTTTTAACTGATAAAAATAAAAATTATTGGAAGAAAAATATTTTTAGATTAATTAAAACATAATAAGATATGTGTGAAAATTATTTAAGCGGTGACAAGTTACAGTTTTAAGATCGATTCAAACATAACCGTACGTGCGTGACGTATCAAAATCCATATCATATATGACAGAGAAATATATGCAATTAACGTTTTAATATATAAATTCGATAGAATTCTAACCACGTGCTCTAGTCACGTCAGAAAAGAGGTTAAGATCTACGTTGTAAGGGATGATCAATACGTATTTGCTTTATTCGCCACTACGCGGCGCATCTTCCCGTATTCAAGATTCATCCGAAACTGTATATAAGACCTGTAAAATCAAGTAATGGTATCGCTTCTCGGCTCTCTTGAGCTAAGATCAAAGTGTAGTATCTGTTCTTATCAGCTTAATATCTGATACAGTCCCCATAGGGGGCTCAGTATATTAATCTATTTTTTGGAACCAGGCGGGTGAACGGGGCTTGCTCCGACCTTGCCACGGGTCGACCCTGCATTGCATTGCAGCAGGGTACGGCTCAGCATAGTAAATAAAACAAAATTTTTATTATATTTTACCTGTCTGATCTCAAGAAATGGATGCGATAGTAGTGGAGTGCGCGAAATTGTGAAAAAGTGACTTTGTGGACATCTCGGACTTTGGCGCGAATACTGAGCCCCCTGCGTCGTCGGCGGCCTATCGGGATAAGTTCCATGCGATAGACCGAGTTTTCAGCTTTAATTTCATGTATAATAAGTACAAGTTCCATTTCATAATACTCGTGCAACAGCTGAACGCATGGAACATGACGGCCGCCGCGGCGCAACATCTGCGCGCGGTACCTGACGCATCCGCCGCTGACAGTCTCAATGCAGCATAATTTGCCGCTAACGTATTTATTGTTATTTATTTATTTATTTATTTATTCGTCTGTTTAATTTATTCCAACTATTTATTACGCCGATCACCAGCATTTGTCTCCCAGCCTTTTAGTTTTAATTGCCCATGTGGGGGGGGGGGGAGCTCTTGTCCCTCGCAAATAAATATATATATATTTTTCCGGTTTTGTAGCAATTCTATTTATTTATAAAGGCACTAAGTTTTAATAAATAACTAATATAAATAAATAAACATAAATATATACATAAATGTGTATGATACAAAGGTATAAACTCTTCTGCTAAGAATCCCGACGAGAATAAACGATTATCACAAGAAATACGCATTTTTCATCGCAAGATGAATTTCAACGTATCAGTCTGCTAGTCACGAAGATCATATATACTCCTTGCCAAGCAGACATAAGAATCTCCGATTTCCCGCGCTGTATTTTACGACGCCGTCACTACTACCTCGATACTCATACTTGCGGAATGGTGATTTCGAACAATGTATGAATCTCTACGTTTATATAAATCGCGTCTAAATCCTGATTTTATCACAAGCTATTACACGCTGCATCTTCACTTTCGCTCACTTTAATCCTTAGATACGTTCACGTAGCGCGTAGCTGGATGCGTAGAATCATTATGATCGTTATTGTGTTTTTATTGCATCTTATTCATCAACATTGTTAAATTCATAATGTTAAATTAACTCAATTTGAAGTATTTTTAATCGTTTTTATAAGTACTGCTCCTATTCCGTATATCATCAATTTAACTAAAACAATAGAGTTGAACAATTTAATAAAAAAAAAATGTATTAAATTTGACTTGAATTTAGTTTATTCTTTACTATGTGCACACAATACATTAATATGGATGTTGTTTATTTTAAAACTTACAATCACAGAAATAGATTAATTTACATTTTAACACATAAAGAATCAGAGTAATCCACTCCCTTGAGTTAAACAACAAAATTAAAAATAACAAAATGTTATTTAATTCAAGGAAGTGGATTATTCTATTTTTTTGATATCTAACAGAAAAGAGAATAAAAATTGAAAAGAAAACGTACGGTATGTGATGGACGTATTTATCAATTATCTCAAAGTATTTTCTTTCAATAAGAGAAAAGATGACACGATTTTTTAAATGCTTTGTACATATTAATCTGCATAAAAAGCATTGCAGAAATTATTCGTGACGATCTCCATATAACTCGGTATCGAATGTCTCGATTTCCCTCTTACGACTTCCTGGACGCCCACCGAACGGACTTGGTATCTTCGTCGTCAGCTCGCTATTTCGTGTTTCGAATCACGATCTTGTCGGCATGGCCACTAGCGTGCTAGCGTGCTACCTATCAGGATGCCGTCGTTGTTGAGGTTGCCGAAGGGACCGACACAACGGTAACGTGACCTGATGCTATTCCCTTGACGATCCCCTATCGACGGAATCCGCGTTTCGGCCGATCCTATTTCCCGACCCCGCCCGTTCTGAATAACGCGATCGAGAAAGAAATGTAGCAGATCCTTTCAGATCTGAATTCGTGGTACGTCCTGATACCGTGGCTATACTTTGTCCCATTCGTATGAATAATAATAATGTGTAATGACAGCGCTTTTAGAAACCAGACGCATAAATCACATTGTATCTTTCAATTCCTATTAATAAATTAGAGAAGCTGTCACTACATTATAAATGCAAAAAATTAAAAATCATTAGTAATAATAATTATTAATGTGTTAAATAATTCTTTTTATATTTTTACCGGAATATTTATAATCAATCCTAGAAAAAAATTTATTGATCCTGAAAAATTCTTATTTTAGATTTAATCAAGCCTAATTATTTTTTCCATTGATTAATAATAATTATTTTTCTTTATTTAGACTTTAGTTTTTTTATATATCAAATTTATGCTGCTATGATTTTTTTTTTAAAGAAATTTGTAGTTATCGATTAAACGAGACTTACGATCTAATGCACCACTACTATTCAATGACTTCGATGTATTTCTCGATACTCAGAAGTTGTGATATAGTCCAGATTGTAGAACATTCTCCGAGAATGCTATTTAATCTTCAGCCACTCGAAACGAAACAAGCTAGTAATAATAAAGAGTCACGCTCGGAATAGCGTGACTAATATTTTCGCACGAATGAATTTGTGTCACCGACTGAAAATAAGAAGTTCATGTTCCACGTATCGCATAATTTCGAAAGTGACTGAAAATAAATGAAAATCATTTCAATCATTATTTTAACAGTACTAGACAGATTTCCAGTTAATCTTCTATCAATCATTCATCAATAATTAATCAACATAAATGTTATTCATTAATCTTTTTTTTTACTGTAATTTTCTTTCTCATAAAATTTTATAATCTCCTTTCTTTATTTTTATACATTCCAAGAAGCTTCAACAAAGTGCAACTCCCTGTTCTTAAGTTCTCGAGTGAAAATTATTAATTTGATCCTTATTATTAGTCGCTTACGGTGATATTATCAGCTAGGCCTGCAATTAGTAAGCTTTATTACTGTATTTATCTATATATATATGTGATACGATGTATGCCGCTACCGCGTTCCCAAAGTCTCGTATTATAGCTTTCTGTAATTTAGACAGCATAGCGATCGCATCAATTAAACGAGTCAACAATGTCTGGCGACGCGAAATGACACACATGGCTTATTTAATTATCGAATGTTAGACAGGTGTATCGGGGGAAAGTATACAATGGCGATGGCGATGGCGATAGTGGACGGAGTGAAAGTCGAGATAATACCGCGCGATCGTCAACAAACATGATGAAGAATGATCGTTTGTTTGAGTGGTTTGTTCGACTAATTGACATGTCCCAAATATGCAAAATCGTGATGACATCATAAGTCGCATATAAAATTTGTTCAATTTGATAGAAATATTCACGATTGCGGATATAGATTAATATTTAATTCTACATAATATTCATCGTAAGTACTTAAATTAAAAAAATATATATTTTAAGTAAAATTCTGTAATGTTTTTATAAAGTATTATATTTTTTGAGAAAAAATTTTTTATCACTCTGCAGATTATTGAACTTAATTTTGAGAAACATAACAATTAATGTGATGTTTCTTAAGATACAAAAAAGATAACAATTTTTTGAAAAACAATCTAAAGAATACAAGCATACTAAAGTACAAGTTACAGTCTTCAAAATGCTTTTTTATTTTTTTGTCTGCAATAATTTTTTTATCGATTTTTTCGGTGATCTAAAAATTTTACAAATTTAAACTTTTCAAAGCATTTTCTATTTTACTGTTGAATAATATACATTAATTTTTTAATTCGCCGAATTGCGTGACATTGTATCGAACGTTGCTCTTCTTTTAGACACGGGAGAAAGGTTCAGTGATCCAATGGATTCAACCAGAGAAATCAGTTCTGATCCAATGGCGCGACGATAAGCCGGAACAAAATCGATCGATCGTTTCGGTCGACATCACTTGCTCTACGCGGCTCGTTGTCATTCGTTATCAGCAATTGCAAGAGGAAAAGAGAAATTCAACCTTGATGAAAGTGACCACCGCATCGACGAATGATGACTTCGGATAAGGAATCTAGTGTATCGGGATAACGGTGTATTTTTTCTTCGCAAGAAATGCGCTTTACTCTTCTCATCGATATTATCATTATCGCATTCTTCGGCCTAACTTTTAACTTTTATGTACTGCAAAAAGATCATTGTTAACCGATATTACAGTTTACACTGTCGCGCCTAAATACCTCTACAGTGAAAAAATGTATCAGGTATACAAAAATGTATCAGTTTAACAATATAATTGTACTCTAAATAAAAATTTTTTAATTTTTCTTATTATTTAAAAAAAAATATCTTCTTTTTATTAAAATACTATATAATTTATTATTAACTTTTTATCAGATTCTAAATCATCACCTTTTTTATATTAAACCGTTGAAAAATTTTATTGAATTTAACACGTTTCACGAGAAAAGAGAAAAAAAGAGAGAAAAGAAAGAACAATATTCTTCGATAAAATAAAAAGAGAGAGACAACTGTCACGTCGGCGCGATTCGGTCGATATTACGGGTTGATCAATGCTTAACAAATTTATGTTAGCATGCAGAAACGTTTCTGTAAAATGCGAGATACGGAGCCGGCTGTGTGTTTTCAGGTTGCGTTGTAAACGAGGGAACGATACGAATCTGCTTATGCCGAGCAAAACGACGGGGATGCACGTCGCGGGTCACCGCTTTTCGCGCGCACCCGGGCACTCGGCGAAGTCACCCAAGGCGAGAGAACGATGATGAACGTCTCGCCTCGAACACGAAACCCGGTTGATTTTTGCCTTCATGCTCTGCCAACCATGCGCCGCGGTAATTCGTCAGCTCGCGACCATGCGACCGACCACGCCCGTAGGAAGAATTGAACATAGATGCTACTACCGTTCGTTACTTCGCATTCCTGGATTAAATCACGATACGATTGCGATCGGTGTTTAGTGTCCATTCAAGCAAGCCTAAAGATAAATGGCATGCTGAAAACGTGCATTCTATGTGTTGCAGTAAAATATTAATATGCAAATATTATCAATTTAATATAAAAATGAATACTTAACCCTCTAAATTTATTAAGCATAGCTCATTAATTACTTAAGTATATTATAAGAATTCTCTTACTTGTGGGAAAGAGATCAGATTTTATTAATTATGCAGAAATTATGAAATTATACAAGAGATATTAAAACTTCTTCAAAGGAAATAAAATATCAAAAATCCTTGTTTTTCTTTCGACATATCAAATTAATTGGATTAATTTGTGTTTCAAATTTAGAATGAATCGATATAAAAATTTGCAAATTAACCAAAGTTGGTACTCCATAGTTATAATTATGATTTATGAAGGTTTTTACATATAATTTAAATCATATAACAAAATATAATGTAACATTACAAACTATAGTATTTGAATAAATCAATCTTCCTCATAGTATTTAATTTCCGCTCATGTATAATAATAGGTACGAAACTTTAACTACAACTAAATCTCGCTTGAGAGAGACTAAAAGGTATACGCTTGAAGGCGAATCAAATTGCGTCGAAAACACGCCAACAACATACATGTATTTACGAACCGGAGTAGTCCTGAAACGCGAGATCTGGCGACCGTGAGAAAAGCGAGTGTCCTATATTTCCAGATATAACTCAAACGGAAAAAAATCCTCGATCCATCCTTCGCTCTACCTTCCTCTCTCTCTTTCACTCTTCCG